AAACATCCAGAAATGTGCTGCTTGTAACTCCCGATTTTATTGTCAAAATCTGCATATCCTTTTGGCCTGGCCTAGATTCTAGCTTCTCCAACCTTCTTTGATTGGCTTTTTTATTATATATCCATCTGCAAATTTGAAGAGCTTGGAAATTGAAATTTTTTTTGGGTTTTGCATTAAAGTTTGATAAGAATTGATTATCATGACTAACATTCGCCCATCATGTATTTTTCTTTTTGCATTTTAGATTAATCTATTTACAATATCAAGCCATAAAATTATCACTTTATAATTGGTAATTTTCTCAAGTCAGGTAAAAACTTCACATTATTTAAATGTGATATGATATTGGTGCTAAGTAACATCATATTTCAAGTTTTATTAGGGGTTTTCAATTATTTAATAGTAATAATAATACAAATAAATAATTATAATTTGTGGAGTGATGGTAGGTACTGGGGTTAGCATTGGCGATGAAGAATGCTTCTATATATATATAAAATTTTATATATTTAATTTATAAATTTAAAAAATAAGAATATCATTGATGATATTTTATGGCTACAACTTTGAAAAAAAAAATAATTTGTTGGCCAACGGCATTGGAATTTGTTAGCAATATTGAAATTAGATGGTTATATATGGGGTTGATGTACGCTCTACAGTTGAGATCAAATGAGAGTATAATTTGTAAAAAAGAAAAGATTTTGACCTTGACTCAATTGAACTTGCTTACATATAAAATGTATATATTTGTTGTTTGTTCATAAATTCAGGGGGTAGAGTGATATGTTAATGTCTTAGTGTTGTTAGAATGATCCAACAGATACATAAGTAAAAAGAAATCGACAAAAATGAAGGAATAACTTTTTACATGAAAAACTCAAAATGACAAAAATCACAAGGTCTGCCTCAATTGAAAAAATTTCATTATGTTGATGTAGGTTACAAAATTTTTTCGGCTTTCCAATAGCAATAAATAATATTGCACTAGTGGTATGTGACTTTCCTAGAAGAAAAATCGACAGTAATATATTTGTATGATTTATATTTAAAATATTAAATTTTAATAATTTTAATAATTGTAATAATAATAGTGAAGTTTAATTTTTTATTGGTTTTAATAATTTTTACTTATAATCTTAAATTTTAATTCCTTTTAAGTGCATTTTAAATTAAGATTTAGCTAGTAAGTAGAGTCTGAGTCTCGCACAAATTTGGCTTAGTAGCTCATCAAGTTCAGCTTACAACCCATTTATCGAGCTCAGTTTGAGCTAGCTTGTCACGCTTATACCTCTAAAAGGATGGAATGAATGCATATATTATATCATTACATTTAGCTTTTTTAATAATTTATTAATTTAAAGTAATGCACAAATAAATGAGACATAAGATCAAATGTACACTGAATTTCATATGGAGAATTAGTAAATATTTAATTTTTAAAATGACAATAGACCGAGCATGAACATATGGATGCATTATCTCCATAGATTTACAATGTCAAATAAAAAAATATTCAAAAAAATATTAAGTTACTCTTTTACTGATAATTTTAATTTGAAAGTTCTTTGTTTGCGTCCTTTACCTGTAATAAATCCAAAAGATTACTTAAATTAATATTACTAACATTTATGGAGTGAAAGAGAAAATTGATGAAAAAAATTTGTTTACGAAGAACTATAATGTCTTCAATAAACAATCTAATACCTCGTAGAGTCTAGAGAACTGTTCAGCTGGATTGAACGTTGCCGCCTGAAAATTTTATGTTTGGCAGCGGAGCGTTTTCGAAACGTCTCCAATTATTGTATCGCAAGAATCGTGATTTTTGTCGTTTTAGAATGAAGACGATGAGGCTCGTTCCGCCACACGACTTTTCAAGAAGGTTTGTCGAACAAAGCCTAAGTGTCAACTTGACAAGGCAAAAAGAATTTTTTTTCAAAATCAAGAGACATCAACCATTTCTATCATTAATCTCCTACCTCCCCATCCATCTCAGAGTGCACATTCCACCTCTACAATTTGATGGCCAAAATAAAAAATTCACGGTCATTTATGTCCTAATATTCATATCAGTCATTTAAATATGATCAAGACATATTCATCATTGTCCCACACCTTTAAAAGAAAGTTCATATGATGTGCCCCCATTTTAGGTGATTTTCCTTTGAATGATTTTTAGTCTATAATGTATCAGCATAGAAAACATAGTTTGACTAATTTCACCTTATCTGTCTTCTTCCTTTTATTTGGTGTTATGGCCTCTTTAAAAATTATCATTTGAGTTGATGATAATTAAAATATGTTGCTTTATGTGATATGCATCGTTTGAAAATCATAGTAAAATCATTATCATTGTTGTGTGCCACAAACTCAATATTATTAGATTCATAACATCATTCCTTGACACCTTAATACTATCATTTGTTGGCACCAAGTAAGTTATAGCCAACAACATCAACATTTAGTTTTCTTCAATGTGGTTCAATGTGGATTCATTTGTCAAAAGAAAATAGCTTTTTTTCTCAAACTAGAGTTAATTTGTTGAAGCTTGATAACAACATTTAAAATTTCTTTGAAAATATAAAAATCAAACAATTATGATAAATAAAGAGCAAGTAAAAAAACAATATTGAGCAATTATGATACGAAAGATATTCTATTTTAAATTTTTCTTATAATTAGGCCATTGTTAAGTTCTAACATAGAAATAAAATAAACTGTAAATATAAAAATTATACTCATACTTTTTATAAAACATTTTAGTTGAATTTAGGGTATTATGATGAACAACTTTCAAGATTTAAGCTGTTACAAGTGTATGAAGAATCTACAACAAATACTAATAAAAATTATTATTTTTGTAATCATAGATCAACGTCATATATTATTTTTAAAGAGTCTTTTAATGGCCAACATTGGAACAAGTAGGGTTGTAAATGGCTCATGTTCGGCTCATTTGAAATAGCTCGTGTTTGACGTGAACAGTGTGTTCGTGTTCGGTTCGATTAAAATATTTGTGTTCGTGTTCGGCTCGAAATTGGCTCGTTAAACTTAAATTGAGAAAAATAGATATAAAGTGTGGGATTCGAATATGAATCAAATATATACAAAAGAATGCACTAAGCACATTGTCACATGAGGTGTTATGATTTAAACTTAGACATAAATATATTTAATATATTATTATATAAATAATATATGTAATATTTTGTTATATAAATAATTATATAATTTTTTTTTTATTTCGAGCTAAAACGAGTCGAACACGATCGAATAAGGATTTGTTCGTGTTCAGCTCATTTATAATTCGAGCTTTAAAAATTTGTTCGTGTTTGACTCGTTTACTTAACGAACGAGCCGAACACGAGTTGTTCGCTTTTTTGACAGCCCTAGGACAGCCCTAGGAACAAGAGAAACAATCGCAAGAAGAACAAAGTCATAAGATATTTGCGACAAGTCATTTGATGACTAGCATTGTGATAAGAGAATCGATCACATCGCTAATATGCAATAGGGAGGTCAATGCCTTTGCACTGTTTTTGGTGATGGCTAATTCGATTGCTTTTTTGTTTGGTCATAGTCTGATGGGCTCGGACATGAATCACTCATTATGTCCTCTTAGCTGGGTTAACATTTGTCCTTAGGGTAGGAAGGTATGCACTCGGCCGTCCTTTAACTCCAGTTAAGGAGGTTGCATTTGGTCAAGAAGGTGAGCCCTTTGGTCTTCTATCAGTGGTCTCTCCCTTCTTATTATTTCCTTCTATTTTAACCATTTAATCTCCTCAAAATTCATGTTGGCTCATTTTAGATGTACAAAAACATATCATTCAATTAAGATTTTGCTAAATTATTGAGGTGAGCTCATTTAGAATATGGGCAAAATTTTTAAAATTAGAATTTTCACTTTAACCTTTTAATAAATATTTATCTATTTATTAATTTTTTGTTAATTGAATTAAAATTTTAATTAATCATTATTTTTAGTTTAAGTAAGAAAGAGTAGTTAAATAACGTCAATTCTATTTAATCAATTTAAATCACAAACTATATTAATTTGTAAGAACTACGATTTTTCTTAATTAAATAATAATTAACTCCAAAAAACTAAAACATCGCTTTAACTTACAATATAGGAGAAACTCATGGTGGGGATCCATTGCGCACCCCACATCCATTGTAGCAATCCTTCCTTTTAACCCTCTTCTCGACCTCTCTTCCATAGCCTATTCTCCTCTTAATGTTGATCTGTGTCATGGCTGACTGGTTTGTGTTATTGGGGCTGTCAAAACGACTCATTAAATAGTTTGGTCATATTAAACATTGACCATCTAATGATCCAATAAGGAGAGTAGATGTTTTAAATTTCGATTTCTATTAAGAAAGATAAGAGATGACCCTAGAAAGAGTTGAGCATATTGTAAAAAAAATGATCTTAATTTATTAGAATTTAATCATGAAGGCGACCCCACTTAGTAGGATAAAGGATTCTTGTTGTTATTGTTGTTGATATTAATATTTTTAATTAATGTTTAATTATTAATTAAAAAATGTTAAGTAAATTAAAAATTAATTTTGTTTAAATTTTTTCTTAATTATTATTGTTTCATAAATTAAAATCACAAATTATGTTAAGTTGTTTGAATTAATATTTCTTTTAGTTAAATAATATTAATAATCTAAAATCCTGCTCATCAATTTAGTACACAGTACAAACCACAACTTAACTTACACGCCGCCATACTTAAACGTCATCCCTTCCATCCTCCCCCACACATCCATCATAGCAAGCCACTACTTCATCAAGTGGCTCTCCGTCAATGAGAGTCAACAGGAAACCACGACACATCTTCTTGATACTTTACGCATCCCCTCCACTGCGAAAAAATATTACCTCTCATTGGAGTAATCCACTGCCCTTCCAGACATACTTCCGTCCTCTTGACTCTCTTCTTCTCTTCCTCCCGTCCACCGTCTCTCCTCCTCTAACCTTGATCTGTGTCATGGCAGACTCGTTTGTTGACCCAATCATAGATAAGATCTTCAAAGCTTGCTCTGTTTACCTTCAAGATCAATATAGATGGCAGACGGGCATGAAGAAGGAGCTCGAAAGGCTGCAACAAAACTACCCCAAGGTCCAAGCTGTCGTCTCTGCTTCCACCCAAGCACAGGTCAGACATCGAATCCCAGCGCTCAACAGCTGGATCTGGCAGCTACGAGATGCTATCGATGAGGCAGATGATGTTCTGGATGACTTTGAGTACGAGAAGCTTGAAGAACGGCTTACCAGAAACAAGAAGCAGCAAAAGGTACGTTCCGCCATGAGCTCTTTAAAGAAAATTGGCAAACGTGCTCTCAAGACGGATCCCAATTTGAAGAGACTGGAGAAGGTTGTGAAGAAACTTGATAAAGTTTCAGTTGAGGTCACTACTTTCCTTCATCTCATCGAAAACGTAAAGCAGGAGCAGCAGGAGCTGGAGCTTCAGTTGTGCAAAGATAAGATCGTGAAAAGATCGAGAAACAGGATGCTTGCCTAAAAATGATCTCATCGGTCGAGGCGAGGATAAGGATTTTGTAATGCAGTGGTTGAGGAAGCCAGCAAATGAAGATCCCACTCTGTACAAAAACATTTCTCTTCTATCCATAGTGGGTCATGGTGGCATGGGCAAGACGACTCTCTTACAACACATCTATGAAGATCTGAAAGAAGAATTTGAACTGAAAATGTGGGTTTGTGTTTCCAACGACTTTGATGCAAAAAAGGTAATTGCTGATATGTTGGAATGTCTTAACAAGGAGAGGCCTCGTTTGGAATCACTCGCTGTTATTCAAGAGAGTCTTAAAGCTGTCGTGCAATCTAAAAAGTTCATGCTTGTTCTGGATGACATTTGGGAGGAAGATATGAGCAAATGGGAGAATGTGCTCTCCCCTCTAACTCGTGGAAGTTTCGGAAGTAAGATTTTGATAACGACTCGAATGGATGCAGTTGCATCAACAATTGCAAAGGTTATTAAAACGAAGATGGAAATATTGAGAATAAAGGACTTGGAGGAAGATGCGTGTTTGAAGCTACTCAACTCCCATGCATTTGCCGGTGTAGAGAACCTTGGTGCTCATAAAAAATTAACAGACATTGCTAGTTCGATAGTTAAAAAGCTTTCAGGCTCTCCGTTGGCCGCAAAGGTCATTGGTGGTGTTCTCAATTCTAACTTGAATCAGAGCTTTTGGATGAAAATTTTAGAAAGTAATGTTCTAAACATAGAACCCGAACCTGGCCGCAATAATATTTTGCCTATCTTAAATTTGAGTTTTAAGTTCCTCCCACAACCTTTACAAAATTGTTTTGCATTTTGTGGCGTATTTCCACAAGATCATGAGTTTGATAAAGATGATTTAGTCCGAATGTGGATTGCATTGGGTTGGAAGATATTGGAGGAAGGTATTTTGTTGTTTTGATCAAAAAATCTTTCTTTGATGAGTTTCAGTATGGTGAGAGAATATACTATAAGATGCATGATTTATTACATGATTTGGCACGCTCTATTTCTTCAGAGGAATGTTTCGGATTTGTGGGAGATGATTTTTCATCATTTAAAGTTCCTAAAAATGTTCGACACTTATTTGTTAAAACTGAAAATCCAGAAGTGTTGAGAAAGATTAAAGATGTTAAAAATCTACATTCATTTTTTTGGATGACCGATGATCAAGATTTTACTGAAATACTTACTGAAATTTTTGAAGCATCGAGAAGGATTCGTTTGTTGTTCATATACTCTTCATGGGAGAAAAAGATTTCTGAGGCTATTAAAAATTTGAGACATCTTCGATATCTGCATCTTGATGCCTATCTCACTCAGATGCCAAGATCTCTAAGCAGTCTTTATCATTTGCGGTTCATAATCTATAAAGGTTGGCATAGGCAACATTCGTCTGATGATTTCTTGCCTGGCAATGCGAGTAATCTTTCTAATCTGCGTTACTTGGAATTGCCCCCGAATGTATTTTCTAGTGTGCCTGGAATTGGGAAATTAAGGTCACTTCAAGAACTAAATGAGTTTAATGTTAAGAATGAGAATGGTTATAGAATTGGGGAGTTGGAACATATGAGGGAGTTGCGCAAATTAAACATTCATTTTCTGGAAAATGTGAAGAATGCTGTAGAGGCTCGCAATGCAAAATTATTTGAGAAGAGAAAACTCACAGATTTATGCTTGAATTGGGGCAATACCGTTGATGAACGGAAGATTGTCAATTCTGACTTAGATGTGCATGTGCTTGAAAATCTAAAACCTTACAAAAATCTAAAGAGATTGTCCATAGTTTCATACAAGGGTGTAAGCTCTGCAAAATGGATGTACACTGCAGATTTGATCTCCAATCTGGAGTACATCAATTTGAACGGCTGCTCGGAGTGGGAAACTCTTCCACCTTTTGGGCAACTTCCCCACCTCAAGTCACTGTACCTTCGTAACATGCCAAAAGCAAAGCGGCTTGATCATAAATTCCATGGGAATGACAAGGTTTCTGTGTTTCCATCATTGGAGGTGCTAAATTTGGAGGGATTACAAGTATTGGAGGATTGGTTTGATGGAGCAGGAGCAACAGCATATGCCTGTTTCTTTCCTTGCTTAACTGTGAACTCTTCCTCGATAACTGCCCAAATCTGCAAGAGTTGCCCCATTTGCCTCCTAAGCTCAAGAAATTGAATATACAAAAAATCGGATGGAAGGCTGCTTTGAACTGGAAGCAAGAAACCAACAACTGTTGCGGCATTTCAAAATCGATTCCCCTTGAGACATTAGAGGTCCTTTCTTTCGTGTCCAAACATCACATCTCTTCTTTCTCTTGGTGGACTTCAACAAGTGGAGAGTGGCATTGAGAAATTCGAGCTTATTCTCCGTGAAGTTGTTATAGATGACCAATCCTTTTTGCCAACAGTAAGTACCGCCTCTTTGGAAAAGCTCACAATTTGTAATAATGACGTGCTGGTTTCTTTTACAATTGAGGCGGAGCAGTGGTTTTCGCACGTTAGCTCATCCCTTCGTCAGTTGAGCTTTAGAGGCCTCAAATCCCTGCAGTCTCTCCCTTCCTCCTTTGAACGCCTCTCTTCACTTGAGATTCTACGTATCGAAAAAGTTCCTCAGCTCCAGCAGCTTCTACACATCCCCGCCTCCCTGAGAAAATTACGTCTTGAATACCTGGAATCATTGCAGTGCCTGCCATCTTCTTTGTCGGCCATCTCTTCCCTCAACAAACTATCGTTAAAAAGCATTCCACTCCTCAAATCATTGCCAGAACTCCCTCCCTCTTTGTTAGATATGTAAATGCATATGAATTGGGTATGCAAATACACCTATTAAGAAAAGGTGAAAACTTATGGGGAATTTAAAGTTAAAGATAATATTTTGATGGTTAATATCATGTTGGACTTTCTGTGTTACGACAAAAAATAGGCAGAAGTGGGGTCGTGTATTTATTTAATGAATGAAAAAAAGGTGTTGGAATCATCAAGAGTGCATGACTTGATTGTTCGCACTCTCAAGAAGACGCGGGTGACCCCAGAGAGACGTTATACTAGAATGTTAGAAGTTGAGACAAATTTTTAATGAGTTTTGTTGTGTGATACAATATTTATGTCAGTACATAGATGTTAATGTTTTAATTTTATACAAAGATCTAGAAAACATATATGTAAGGAATTTCAAAAGAGACATTAACAATTTTACTTGAAAATTTTGAAAGAAAAAGAGTTAAAATTCAATTGAAATGATCCACTATATATATGGTGCTCCTGAAGTCTTCTCTTCCCTATTATTGGAAATATATGATAACAAAGTGGAAAAAACTTATTCGTTCTCTCGTGTCTATAAAGATTACTAAAAGGTGATGATCAGAATAGCGCCAAAATCTTAAAACATTCCATTAAAAGAACCATGTTGTTTCTTTTAATTCATAACCTCAAATTATATGGTATTGTTGAATACTAGTTTGTCTAATGAATCACACTCAAAGAATAGAAAGTAAAACATAAAAAAGAGAGAAAAAAAGAGAGATGGGTGCTCTAATAAATATTATAATGAGAGAATTGTGTAACAGTTAATTGAAATGTTCATAACGTTAAATGAAGCATAAATGTTACTTCAACTCTCGTGCCACCCTAACCCAAATTCTTCATACTAATTTCCCTATTTTAAATTAAGCTTATAAACTTTTCAGTCACACTTCAATTACTTAATTTTGGCTTATTTAAACTAAAATCTACTTAATTTGGACTTATTTAGATTTTTTTTTTTTTTTTTTTTTTTTTCTTTTTTTTTGTGTCTCATCGGGATTTTTTTCTTGACAATAAATTTGTTGAAATTAGAATTAAGATGATCAAAATTTTAATTTTAGATATTTTCAACTCAAGAATTTCTTCACGAGATATAATTTGTTCTCATTTTTTTTTTTTGGATGATGACGTCTATATTGTCTTACAAAATGCTATATTATATCTTTGAAAAAAGTTATGATACAAACTAGAAATTAAAATAAATATGATGTTAGATGCTAATATGAACCTCACTTCAGAGTCCGTGAATCAACTAAATTCTCCTAAAATGTAATCGAAACAGAGAATTGTCAAAAAAATTTTGCTCTAAACTCTTCAAAAGTGCTTGAGACTAATTTTTGAAACTATATTGAGATCCAAGAGTTTCAAAGTTAAGTTCAGAACATCAAAAAATTACTTTAAGAACCCAAAAAATATTGAGATGGATATGTATGGGTTCAAAATCTAATCCAGAGCGGGTTGAGGTAGCTAACCAACCCATTTTCGATGGCTATGACAATGCAAAAGTGTACATACAATCAGAACAACACATGATTTTTATTTCATTTTTTAAGCATAAGAACATTTCAAAAAATTAAATAAATTCTTTCGATGGTAAGAAAACTATTAAAAAATTTAAAAAAAAAATTGCAAGAATTAAAATTTTTTGGACTTCTTGATGTTGAAATTTTGACAATTTTGTCCTTAATGAATTTATGTGATCGAACTAATCATCCTAAAACTCTTATTTACCAATGAAAGTTAATGAAAGTCTTTTGCTATTTCCATGAAAATCTTCATATAAAAATATCAAAGCTTGCTAGGTAGAAAATTCAGGACCAAAAAAAATTTCTTGAATATGTTATTTTACTTTTCATAAACTTCAATATTTAATTGTAATTTATCAACTAGTCAAAATGAATTGAAATTTTTCTAAGCACTTCCATAAATATATTGATAATTTATTTTTAAAAATCCTTTTTTCAAGTATTTTTCTCAGAAAAAAGTTTATAAATGGCTATTGATGAGCGATTCATGCACGTTATTATTGTTTTATAACAATTATTAAAACCTCAAATGAATGATTCTTGTAACATAATTAATGTCATTTAAAAGAGAATTCACTAATTTATATTTTTTCGATTGTAGTCGTTTGAGATATGTTATGATCAAGAAAGAAGTTACACCCATAAAACAAACTTCAATGAGAATGAAAATGCGCCTTGGAAGTTGTTATAGAATTTTGAAGGTTTAAAAACTATAAAATGCTTAAAAGCATATTGTAATGATGATGGAGGATGTATTAACATTAGACAGACCTAATAATAATTCTTCTTATTTGACAAACAATTGGATATAAAATTATTGATGTATATTGTTGATTGAATCAATGTGATAAGAATAATGATAAATGAAGAATTATAATAGTTTGCATTAGAGTACGCATTTTTTAGAATTTGTCCATTAAAAAAATACTTGAGACAATCAATCATTTTTAAGATATATCTAAAACCTTTAAATGTCGGTGCAAATCAAGCATATAACAATTGAATCTTTAAGTCCACAAAGAAATGGCAATGGTCCAATTGCAAGATAATAGACAACAATCCGCACAAGATTGCAAACGTTCCTGCTGTCAGTATTAATTTTATTTGAGAGTTGTGTTTGTAATTAAATTCTAAAATCATTGTTTTGTCGTTAATTTTTAATTTCAATTGTAGTTAAAATATGATTTATGATTTTGGATTGGATAGAGGAGTCTTATATAGCATTAGACTTAAAAATATTGATGATTTCCTCTTCTGAAATTTAAATATATAAATATATTTGTTTGGATATATGAATTTACTCAACAATGATGATTACAGTGACCTTAAAATCTAGAGGTTTTTACTTCAAGGCACCCCAAACTGTGCTTTTTACCTACAACTCATATTGACATTATTTTTGAAAAAAAATTTTTTGAGTCAATATATCTGATCAAAATTCTTTCAAGATAAATTATCCTTTGTAAATTGTTTAAAATAAGTTAGATGTAAATTTTAATTAATGAATCATATATCACACTAATCTCAAAGCAAATTAAAAATATGATTAACTCATTCTAACCCAAATTCTTCATACTAATTTCCCTATTAAGCTTATAAACTTTTCAATCACACTTCAATTACTTAATTTTGGCTTATTTAAACTAAAATCTACTTAATTTGGGCTTATTTAGATTAATTTTTTTTTATTTTTTTGTGTCTTGTGATTGTCTCATCAAGATATTTTGCTTGACAATAAATTTGTTGAAATTAGAATTAAGATGATCAAAATTTTAATTTTAGATACTCTCAACTCAAGAATTTCTTCATCAGATATAATTTGTTCTCGTTTTTTTTGGATGATGACGTCTATATTGTCTTACAAAATACTATATTATATCTTTGAAAAAAGTTATGATACAAACTAGAAATTAAAATAAATATGATGTTAGATGCTAATATGAACCTCACTTCAGAGTCCGTGAATCAACTAAATTCTCCTAAAATGTAATATTGTCATTACACATCAATCGAAACAGAGAATTGTCAAAAATTTTTGCTCTAAACTCTTCAAAAGTGATTGAGACTAATTTTTGAAACTATATTGAGATCCAAGAGTTTCAAAGTTAAGTTCAGAACATCAAAAAATTACTTTAAGAACCCAAAAAATATTGAGATGGATATGTATGGGTTCAAAATCTAATCCAGAGCGGGTTGAGGTAGCTAACCAACCCATTTTCGATGGCTATGACAATGCAAAAGTGTACATACAATCAGAACAACACATGATTTTTATTTCATTTTTTAAGCATAAGAACATTTCAAAAAATTAAATAAATTCTTTTGATGGTAAGAAAACTATTAAAAAATTTAAAAAAAAAATTGCAAGAATTAAAATTTTTTGGACATTTTGATGTTGAAATTTTGACAATTTTGGACATCTTAATGAATTTATGTGATTGAACTAATCATCCTAAAACTCTTATTTACCTATGAAAGTTAATGAAGTCTTTTGCTATTTCCATGAAAATCTTCATATAAAAATATCAAAGCTTGCTAGGTAGAAAATTCAGGACCAAAAAAAATTTCTTGAATATGTTATTTTACTTTTCATAAACTTCAATATTTAATTGTAATTTATCAACTAGTCAAAATGAATTGAAATTTTTCTAAGCACTTCCATAAATATATTGATAATTTATTTTTAAAAATCCTTTTTTCAAGTATTTTTCTCAGAAAAAAATTTATTGATGAGTGATTCATGCACGTTATTACTGTTTTATAACAATTATAAAAACCTCAATTGAATGATTCTTGTAACATAATTAATGTCATTTAAAAGAAAATTCACTAATTTATATTTTTTCGATTGTAGTCGTTTGAGATATGTTATGATCAAGAAAGAAGTTACACCCATAAAACAAACTTCAATGAGAATGAAAATGCGCCTTGGAAGTTGTTATAGAATTTTGAAGGTTTAAAAACTATAAAATGCTTAAAAGCATATTGTAATGATGATGGAGGATGTATTAACATTAGACAAACCTAATAATAATTCTTCTTATTTGACAAACAATTGGATATAAAATTATTCATGTATATTGTTGATTGAATCCATGTGATAAGAATAAAGATAAATGAAGAATTATAATAGTTTGCATTAGAGTACGCATTTTTTAGAATTTGTCCATTAAAAAAATACTTGAGACAATCAATCATTTTTAAGATATATCTAAAACCTTTAAATGTCGGTGCAAATCAAGCATATAACAATTGAATCTTTAAGTCCACAAAGAAATGGCAATGGTCCAATTGCAAGATAATAGACAACAATCCTTCAGGGTTAAACTTGTTTTTGATTTTTAGATGAATTAAGAATATGCCTATTTTGATGCTTAAGCCTCAAGGTATTTTTATATAGTGGGAGAAGCTATGAATAAATGTTAATATATATTGATAATGAGCAAAAAAAAACTATATATCTCTTCAATTTCTTTAAGAAATATATATCGCTATAAAGCTTATGTTTTCTAAGATTTTTAGAGAACATATTATGTTAAAATTTTATCTTTTAACAAGGAATTTATATATTTTTGAATTTTGGACTAATAAACTTTTAGGGATCTATACTTACTAATATTCTGTAACGACGATGTCAATGAACATAGAATCAGTTAAGACGGAATGAACAATCGGACGGTGAAACTAAGTATTTCTAAACAATAATATTATTCAACAATATCATTCATTATAAGAGCAACTAATCAATAATACACATGTAAATATTCTTTTAACAAATACATAATACATATGATCATCAAATGACACAATAATAAAAATAGTAAATAAAAATGAAAAAATAGAAAAACTAACAAACTCTACCTATCACTAAAACTGTTTCTCATCTTGTAAAAAAATTAGATTCTATCCGGCATAAGAATCTAGCAAATATTTTCTTAAAAATGAAAATTAAATAATATGTTAAATTTTTAAAAAAATTTGATGAATGTTTTATACTTTATTAGGCATGCAATCTTTATACAAATATCTAACATGAATACTAAAAAAATTATGTTGATTACAAAATAAAGCTTGCATATTTCATTATTATAATATTGAATATAATTGTCTTATCATTTATATTTTCATTTTTATTTAAATTTTTTTTCCTTTTTTTTTTAAAAGCAATCTAGGAGCACTCTAAAAATGTTTTCCATTTACTACCATAGAAACACAATCATTTTCATTTTTTTTTCATTTTGTATCCTAAAAGACAATAATTTCTATTTATTTTTTTTTTAACATGCATGACTATAATAATGTCCCTTACTAGTATCATATAAAAAACGACACTTAATAGACTTAATTTTTTATATGTATTTTAATGCATATTTCATTTCTTTCAACTGTTACATTTATTCAATTTTTCATTTAATGCACTGTAAAAAATAAAAAAAATCATAATATTCATTCAGTTATAAGAATGCTTTTAATATGTGTAACCAATGAAAAGTTTTAAGAGAATAAAAGAAATTAATGTAACACAAATAAAATAATAATTAATCATCTTAATATCCAGAAGATTTCTATAAATGCTTTACTATCACTCATACAATTAAAAACATAGACCTTACCTCCACTTTCAATGTCATCGATCATGTACTTTCAATGTCATCGATCATTTATCCTTCTCAAATCCAAATTATTTTTTAGAATTTGTCCCTTAAAAAAATACTTGAGACAATCAAACATTTTTAAGATATATCTAAAACTTTTAAATGTTGGTGCAAATCAAGCATATAACAATTGAATCCTTAAGTCCACAATGAAAAGGCAATGGTCCAATTGCAAGATAATAGACAACAATCCTTCATGGTTAAACTTGTTTTTTATTTTTAGATGAATTAAGAATATGCCTATTTTGATGCTTAAGCCTCAAGGTATTTTTATATAGTGGGAGAAGCTATGAATAAATGTTAATATATATTGATAATGAGCAAAAAAAACTATGTATCTCTTCAATTTCTTTAAGAAATATATATCGCTCTAAAGCTTATGTCTTCTAAGATTTTTAGAGAAGATATTATCTTAAGATTTTATCTTTTAACAAGGAATTTATATATTTTCGAATTTTGGACAAATAAACTTTTAGGGATCTATACTTACTAATATTTTGTAACGACGATGTCAATGAACATAGAATTAGTTAAGACGGAATGAACAATCAGACGATGAAACTAAGTATTTCTAAACAATAATATTATTCAACAATATCATTCATTATAAGAGCAACTAATCAAGAATACACATGTAAATATTCTTTTAACAAGTACATAATACACATGATCATCAAATGACACAATAATAAAAATAGTAAATAAAAATGACAAAATAGAAAAACTAACAGGGTTTCTCATCTTGTAAAAAAATTAGATTCTATCAGGCATAATCTAGCACATATTTTCTTAAAAATGAAAATTAAATAATATGTTAAATTTAAAAAAAAAAAAGTTGATGAATGTTTTATACTTTATTAGGCATGTAATCTTTATACAAATATCTAACATAAATACTAAAAAAATTATGTTGATTACAAAATAAAGCTTGCATATTTCATTATTATAATATTGAATATAATTGTCTTATCATTTATATTTTTTTTTTTCCATTTCTTTTTTTTTTAAAGCAATCTAGGAGCACTCTAAAAATGTTTTCCATTTACTACCATAGAAACACAATCATTTTCATTTTGTTTTTCATTTTGTATCGTAAAAGACAATAATTTCTATTTTTTTTTCTTTTAACATGCATGACTATAATAATTTTTTTATCATAAAAAAATTGACACAATAGACTTAATTTTTTATATGTATTTTAATGCATATTTCATTTCTTTCAACAGTTACATTTATTCAATTTTTCATTTAATGCACTGTAAAAAATAAAAAAAATCATAATATTCATTCAGTTATAAGAATGCTTTTAATATGTGTAACCAATGAAAAGTTTTAAGAGAATAAAAGAAATTAATGTAACACAAATAAAATAATAATTAATCATTTTAATATCCAGAAGATTTCTATAAATGTTTACTCATTCATTTACTTTCTCTCACTCATACAATTAAAAACATAGACCTTACCTCCACTTTCAATGTCATCGATCATTTATCCTTCTCAAATCCAAATAATTTTTTTTCAACTCTTCCCAATGAAATAAAATTTAATATTAAGATTAATGTAATTATTTATACCAATCATTTTAGTTTTATTATGATTATGTGAGTTTAGATGATAATCATTTACAAACATGATTGTAAGTCCAATCACGTCAGACTTGCTAGTAATGACAATATTAGTTTTGGTGGTTATAAGAAGAATTTTTCATGTTAACTCCCAGTGCAATATTTAAGAATGTTTCTCAGCCAATGACGACATTGGTGGGAAAAAAAGTGGTGAAATTAATGGGCCAATTGAATTGAAGGAGATTCTCCGCAGTCTTACACTAGAGGAACTCGTGTTTCCTACAAAAATCTTCAACAAGGAGGAGGGCCTCTTTTCGATCTATGACCTGAGCTAAGTGGACTTCTCGTTGTGAAAAGAAGGGATTAGTTGATAACGTTGGGAATGAAATTCAGACTTTAATCAAATTTACTGTACATAATTATTTGAAAATAGATATATTTATATATCAAATATTTAATAAAAATTCAAAATTTTTCTCTAATTATTTGTGGGACAAAGAAAGAAAACAATTAAATCTTCATACTTCATAGAATTAGAGGATCCAAATACTAATAGTCAAGCTTAAATTGTTTTTTTAAATTTCATATAATGCATCTAAAATAGTTTGTATAAAAGTTACAAACTAACCAAAACTTTCTATTTACAAATCATCCATTCTCTATTATTCATTTCTCATATTTTCACTCAAATATTAAAATTCATGGTAAAACCCCAACTCATATTTTTCATTTTTATTAAAAAATATTTTAAAAATAAGACAGCACAAAACAAAATAATTTCAAAAAATTAATATTTGGGGAGGTCTGAATGCGTTTATCCCTTTATTTATTTATCTTATTTTTTTAATAAAAATATTTTAAAAGAGGGAACTTAAATGCCCGTCACTCGTTCCGGATCCCAACTAGCGAGGGAGCTCCTTCACTCCTGCTCGCCGGAGCCATGATCTCCTTCGAAACCCTCAGCGGCGGCAGCGCGGGCATCTCAGGTCACGAGAAATACCTGAACTTCAACTCCAAGCGCCGCGCTTCATCTTTTCGATTGTCTCTCTTCTCCCGAAAAGCATTTATGAATCCTTTAAGGTATCGATTCAGCAAGCAGGAATACTTTCTCCGGAGAAGCGAAGGGTGCGGAGGTGGAGAAGGACAGCAAGGTACACAGAAACTTTGGCGATGAAGACGATCAAGGTGGGAAAGCGAGGGGAATTTCTGGAATTCACGTGCCGAGGCAGAAGTACATTCCTGTTTCAAAGACTAAGCTTCTCCGAGCTATTCTGGAGATGTTTGAAGTGAAGGAAGACGCTGATTATTTCACGAAGCTCTCTGTGTGAGTCGAGTATTGGCAATTTTTTTTTTCATCTCCTATCTTAGGATCCGCAAAAGCAGCAAAATCCAACATGAAACTTTACTGGAAACCATGTTATATTTACTCAGCTCAATCTTGATTTTATTTTCATCAGATGAATTCTCCACCGACATGGTTTGCATTTTTTTCCGCCCTTTGTTATTTACAAAGAAACCACAAGTCTATTTTAAGTCTATTTTTAGTCATTTTTGCTCCAGTTTGCTTTAATGTAATCATTTCTTTATTTATCCTTCATTGTTGTTTTACACATCCATTTCAATACATTATTATTTCTTTCACACTCAACTTAGATATCAATAGCCTTTTCATAGCTCAATTTCAAATCTCTTCAAAATTGTTAGCCTAATTGTTGTTTTTGCCGGCTCCGAAAATTCAACGGACGCCCCTGAAGATAACTTTATGCATTTATTTTAGTTTTGTTTTGAGAGAGTTTTAAATGGTCAAATTTTTAGAAGCATATTGGATTGTAAATAAGACATTATCTAGAGATTTCACTCTCAGTTTGCTAGGACTTTTTTATCGGGGTTCAAGGTTTCCCATAAGCGCAAGCCCCTATAGTTAATTACTCATTCCGATAACATGAGAGCACTTTCAATTAAGGCTAGTCATTAAAAATTAAATATTTAACTTAAGAAGACTTAGGATTTAAGTTATAGAATTCATCACTTAAAGCTTGAAGCGGATATTGGGGGAATGAAGACGAAATTTGATCAAGATCTCATGGTTCGGTCATCCCGGGGCGTCTTGGTTCCTGATGTATTTAGTAAGAGGAGGTAGTCAACCCAACCTGACAGAAAGATTCTTGTCAGCAGTCATAAATTTCATCGTGTAAGAAATCCTTATAGATATGTGGTGGATATTTGTCGAAGGGGACAAATTTAAGTTAACTTTAACTAACAGAATGATTTGTGTCAATCAACTGTACTCTTATAATTCACAACTCAAATGGTAGAAAGTCTTTGAGGAACATACGAGTTACGGCTGTGATCGTAATATAATGGTGTTATTTAGCGGCAACCACTCAGTCAGAGGGCTCCCGTCGTAACTGCTATTTTTTGGTGTCATTTGGTGGTAAAATCACACGAACAGAGAACTTGGGTCACGTTCCTACTGACATGTAATTACTTTGATTGTGAATATAAGAATACATTTAATATAACATTGACTCTTTGTGGGCTGAAGTCGGTTAGAAATTTGTCACCCTCAACAAACTGTTGCGAAGGGTAGATTTGCTTTTAAGTCTTTAGTGATTGATTTTTAGTTTTGATATTTTAATTACTTATTTTGAAAGTCTTGATTTAAAAGATTGACCCTCCGGTTGAAATCTTCTATCAATTCGGTTATCATGAAGGAGTCAATTAATTTTACAGTTTAAGCTTTTTAAAGCATAATTCATGCCGACTCCTATTCTTATAGATAGAAGGATCATACTAGTTGGGTTGATTTGAACTTTAGACTCTTATTTCAAGATTTGGATATTTATTTTAAAATTACTAGACTTGTCAACTTCAATCCTTGCGAGGAGGAAGATCAGACTAGTTGGGGCGATTTGGACTTATAAACTCTTATTTCAGGATTTGGACATTTATTGGGGCTCACTAGACTCGTTAACTCTTTCTTGCGAGGAGGAGGATCAAACTAGTAGGGTGGGACTTGCAACTCTGCCCTCTAGACAAGACAACCCAATTTGCCCGCGCAACATTCTGGAACACATTAGTTGAGTATTCAATGCATTGATTGGAGCACATACAAGCTTTTAACTTTCATATGTTTGGGATATTTTAGCTGGAACATTTGGTGTCTTAAGACAATTTATATGATTTTAAAACATGATTTAAATCAAATAGATTGCACATAACCCTTCATTTTAAGCATTTTACTGCCTTGTGTTCGCTGGCAGACACATTGTGAATTTGGTCGCAGTAAATTTCAAGTTTTAAGAAAACTCAATATTTGAATTATGCTTCGCCCCGAGGTGCCCAAGTCCAAATAACTCAAATTCAAAATATTTTTAGATTTACGAGCTAAAATTTTAAAATTTTAATCTTAATATTATAGGCTTTGAAAATTTACATTTTAATAGAACAAAAATTTTAAAACTCTAAGAGCCTAAATGTTCAAAAACGCAGCTCCCCGATAATTTAAAACCCTAAGAGCCTAAAATTTTAAAAATTTGATTTTTTCAAATAATCTTAAAATTCAAAACGAGTCATATTTTATATTATATTATAAGTTCAAAATTTTAAATATCCTGAGTTGATTTTCAAGTCCAAATCATCGAAAATTTCGGCAGCCTCCCAGCTTCAACCCCTGTTTGGGGACACCGGAGGATGCCAACCTTCCCAGCTATCTTAAGAGACGAGCTGGTCAGTCTCGTGAGACACTTTGACCGGGGAGCAAAAAGTATAAACTTAACCTACGATTTTAAAAGATGCAAGGGATCTTCAATGTACGTTGTGTGGAGTTCGAGTAGGAGGAGGAAGCGAAGAACAGTCGAGGCAAACAGAGAACAGTGGAAAATGATTGTTACGACCAAAAAAGAAGAGATGAGAGAAACGAACATGAACTAACAGGGAGGGGTATGCGAATATACTTCGACAGAGGCTCTAGTTCGTGCTTGTAACTGAGGAATAAGGGGTGGGAAAGATAAATAAATATATAATTATTTTATTTTATTTTCTTTTCTCTCTCTTCCCTTTTTTTATTTCAGAGAACAACTTTATATTTTATCTTTAAGTCTTTATGATATTATCATATTACATGAAATTTGTTTATCCCTATTCCATTTTAATTGTTCAATTTTAACTTTAGAAGCTATATCATCATTTTCCATGCATCCATATTCTTTTATATAATTGATCCAAGATACTTAAATCTCTTACAATTAAGTATCATATTTATGTTAAATTTGTAATTTGTATCAGCAGTTGTAAAATTTATAGTTGAGAGCTTAGGAACTTTGTTTAAAGCTAATGATTCTTTTGAATATATGCCTAATCAAGATTTTTGTTTCCTGCTATGAACGCTAATTTTATAGGTGGTGCAGATTACCAATTTGCATCCTATTAATCTTTTCATCGTTTCAAGTTGTTGAATTCTTATTCATTGCTTATTTTTCTCCAAAGTAATGTAAATTACCAAATGTTTTTTTTTTCTAGTTTTTTTTTAATGTAATTATATTGTGATGCTAGGTGTATTTTCTCAATGGGATATTTTCTTGGAAGTAATATCCTTACTGTTGTGAAATGTATTTCTTTTGATGCCACAAATTTTAATTTATTATTATTATTTCAAGTTCTATCTTTAATTACTGGATGAATTTCTATTGAATATTTTTTCGCCTCCTTTTGTTATTTGTTGCTGAATTGTACTCTTTGATTTTTCTTCTTTCTTGGCAATATTTCTGTCATCATGTTTAAATATAATACAGTAGTGTGGGCCTTTTGAAATATATTATGGAACTTACAGGTGTCTGGACTCCATTCTTCATGCTGAACATAAAGGTATCCTTGAGGAAATGAGAAGCTATTATTCTTCTTATTTGCAAGACCAACCATGGAAAACTACGTCTGGCCGGCATGACGTAGCCCCAAATGGGTCAATGGGTACCAATGGCAAGGAAACAAACTTCCCCAGCATTCTTGAAGATGGAAAACTTCTAGATAACTTGAACCTGGGAAGATTTTTTGAATCACTTTCTTCTGGTAAAGGTGATAGAAAGTTTTCATTGGACTCACCAAGGTTCGCTAAATTCGTTCCACCTAAATTTTGTATATGCTTATTTTTGTGTCCTTTTCATTAATTATTAACTTGCCTCTAGCATCTTGTGTTTTAAAACCATTTGAGGTTCTTTACAATTTGTTTATTCATAACATGGAATATTAATGTAATCTTCAGAACTCTACTGGTTCTCACTGTTAGGTAATGAAGTTTAGTGTCTTTTTGTTTATGATTAAATTTGGTATTTTTGTTTCTTTTGTTATTAACGTTGAGAAGTATTAACTTTTAGTTATTTCATTTCTATTTTTATTGTTCCTTTCATATCTCATTTTTCTTTATCAACTGTAAATTTTCCTAACAAACTTTAGTTGATATTTCCAAATAATGTTTCCCTATTTTTAGCTTTTTATTATGTTAAATCTATTTATATAGAGTTAAATGTATTTTTTTGGCTACTCATGACATGCTCTGAATCATCAATAGTAATTCATTTGACTTGTAGGATTGCAGTTGCAACTCGTTTTCAGCAATCTTTTATGAAACTCTTACGCAACGCACAATTCGAAGAACTTTCAGTTCAAGATTTGCTTTTGACAAATGCACTAAATAGTGACTATCTTTTGACGTTGCCAATATATGTTGACTGGAAACGTGCATCTAAATCCCATGCGATAATTTTCAGGCAAGAAAGTTTGTTTTTAAGCTAAATACCATCCTCAATACTCCAAAAATTGTTTTACTGATTAATTTGCAAATTTTCTTTTTCAGTGGTCATGGAATTTATATTCAAAATATTTTGTCTCTGTTGATTGTACTAGAAACAATTGATATTTTTTTATCGAATATATGTAGGATGATGCGAAGAGGGTTATATTTTGGTTATATGTATATTTGAATTTAGATAATTTTTTTATGAATAACTAAATGCTCAGTAGATTTCAAGATAACATTCTTGTTGAATATATGAAAGGCTGAGTTTAACTCGGTACAGTTTATAGGTCAATTCAGCCTAGCTTCAATGATGATCGGATGACTTGACCTAGTCAACTCAATAAAGTTGTCTTTTTTTTCGTACCTATATCCTCATCTAGTCGAGTGGCGAATCCCCAATCGTCTACTAGGCACATGACGAACAACTACTCATTAATTTTGTTTGTGACAAACGGATGCTTGTCAGTTTAGCTTGCACTGACTTACCCTTCAATCTGAAAAAATGGTTTCCTTGGCTAGGCGCCTGATCAAGCTACAAATCATCCTATGTAACAATTGTATTTTACTTGTTTTTATAAAACATATATCTAGTCATTTATGTAACATACTAATTAAAATCCTAAATGTATAAGTAGGGTCAAGCTTGGAATTTTTGGTAGGCACGTCAAGGCAATAAATTTCTATAATTTGTTCTCTCAATTAATTAGATAGTTTTTCTTTTTACGACTATTTCTCTTCCGAAGTATGCTATTTTTTTTTGAAGGGTAAGTATGCTAATTTAAATAGTGCGACTTCACGAATAATTTAGGTTCCAACATTTTATGTTTGATGAATGTTGAAAAACTGGATTTGTCAGGAGTTCACATGAAAAAATTGGAAAGGTTTTGTTGCATCAATGTGTTTTTGTCCATACATAATGAAAATTCAGGAGATTGAATCTCGATAGAAGAAGTGAGATTTTTGGTTCTAGGTTGAAATCAAAAGGAGGAATTTTTAAAGAAAATCAAAGTCAAAAGAAGGAATATCTATTGTAGATGATATAAAGAGGACTTTTAAGAGGAACGAAAAGAATGAAGTTCATGATAATTCTTGTCCATTTCTGTCATCCTTCTTGTTCTTTTATTTGCTTTATAGTAGCATCCATTTTATCGTCGTTAATGATATATATTTAGGCCTTCCAAGACTAGAATTATTTATGGAGGAAGAGTCCTAATGTTGTTAAGATATTGAATTAAGTGATGCATCAAAATGGGCATTAAATCTCATAATCATGTTTAAATAACTTCAAGATATGAAATAGGTCAAAAATTTGCTCAACTGAGTGGTATTGTTCTAGCTAAAACTTGATTTTACCACCATGGCCTCGGGTGAATGAGCTGAAATATTTTTTTATTTGATTTGGTGTGTGTAGTTTGTTTTGTTGACACACTATTTTGATATTAAGAAAATTATATTGGTTGTTGTTATTCAATATAACATTGTATTACTCAAGTAACTTAATAAATTGAAATGATAAATACTAATATAGTTGATCCTATTTATGGTTAAAAAACTTCCTAAAACTAAATTAGGGAATAATTAGAAGTGAATACTCTTACATTGGATTTGCGGACACCATTTAGTGGGAGGCTTATTTTTGTTGTTGTACTCCTACGTCGGATTCATAACATAATTCTAATATCCAACAATTAATTTTTTGGGTTTTACTACCCCTTAGCAATTAAATTTATTGACCACCAATGAGTTGTAATGGATAATCTCTAGTTGGCAAGATTGAAAGCTTTTCTTCAGAGCAGGTTGATGTGTCAAATCTATTCAACTCTTTTCTATTTGTTTTCTTAATGTGAATATGAAGTGAAAGAAACGAAAAATCGCTAGAAGATTGAAGAACACAAAAGATTTTACGTGGTTCAACAGTATGCCTACATCCTCGAGAGCAGCTATTTCAGAAGTGAAGGTATAGTTCCCATAGGGTTACAAATATTATATATAAATACAACCCTTAACGAAATTACAAAAATACCCTTGTACTGTACCGCGGGGGTAACGCCCCAGTACCCCCAACCCACTTAACGAAATCCCACCATTTGGACAGGTGCTTTCGATGCGCTCTACTTAGCTCGTGAGCTCCGCTTGCTCACTCCGCTCTAGCATCTGTCCCTTATTAGGTATATGAGCCATACCTAACAAAATATTATAACTGGAAAATGATATGAGCACAATAGTGTCAACTACCATAAATTGCTAGAGAAGAATGAAAAATGAACAAAAGAAGATAGAGGTAGTGTGGATACAAAATCCTTATTAACATGAGACTACAAAAATACTCATTTGGACTTTAGGTGAAGTCTAGTGACAATAGTTGAGTGGCGTTAGATTTATTTTTTTTTATTTTTGTTACGTTTGATAAATAGAAATTGAAACATCCTATCCATTATTGACTCTGTGTGCTCTCATTTAAGTCATAAGGTTGTTGAGCATCTTTATCATTGTTGTGTTGATAAATTGGAGTATTGTAGTAATATATGATTAGGATCAATGTTGATGCGATAGTTGTAGAAGTGGACTTCCACCGAAGGGTTAATAGACGCAGGAAAAAAAATATATAATTCTAAAGGAAAAAATAAAATGAGTTCAAAGTTCTGATTTTGACTTTATGATAAAAGACTTGTCTAAAAAATTATTAAAAGGGTCAGATATGATCATTTGATTGTATATTTATTGCTCTCTTTTTAAATTTTCTCAATTAAGGATGAGTCTTGAAGCGTTAGTAGAAATTATTACCCATAATTTTGTAAGATGAACAATGCACTAGATGCCTTTGAATTCAACTTTTTGCCAATATCCACAAATTGTGGATTCAATTGACTTTTGCGTTAAATATTATATATAAACATTTAGATAATGCACTAGGATGTTCAATAGGATTTAGTTGATTTTATATTTATTTTAATTAGAATAATATATATATATATATATATATGCATAATATTTAATATTATGGTTGTTATAATAATATTATTTATAAACATATAAATATATGAATATTTAATACTACTTTTTGATAAAATAAATGCGTTGACCTCACTGTGTGAATGTCTATCGCTTGTACGTATTGACTTTTGAGTCTTAGTCATGCGTGCAAGCTAAATTTTTTTTTATTTTTTCTCGATGGTGACTAGGTGAATATGTGCATCATTCTTAGGTATTTTTGATATTTTGGACTTATCAATGGCTCTTGTTTCATGAAAAGAGTAATGATTAGATGACTTTTGATTGTAGTAAAGGCATTTTGATTTGGACTTGCGCTACGTGTTTTTTATCCACCAATTTTTGTCAGGTTCGATCGAATCAATCGTTGGGGCTTTTTATGGTAATTTTGACATTTTGGACATATTAATGCAGTCCATTTTGTGGAAAGAGGGATATTTGAGCGATTCATTGATTTTTATGTTTGAGACTCATCACAAGATGGACTTATGTAATATGATGATCGTTGCCCGCCGTTTTTGTTGTGTTTGAACGTTTGTTTGGGGGAGTGACATCGAGGTCAACATCCTACATGCTATGGAAATGAAAACATATTTAATGTTCTATTAAATACTATTAGCTGAATATATGTGTTTTAGATTCTATTAAATATTATTAGACAAATGTATTTAGATTAAATTAGCAAAGACAATTAATTTTGTGGAAATTCTTAAATAGTCATTAATCACTTGAATATTTCCTTTCAGTTAAGAGAGAAAGGTCATTTTCCTTGCATCTCTTAAAAACCCCAAGAGCGGAAAGAATGCTCTCCATTTTATGGGCAGGGCATTAGGAAATATGGATCCAAAATTTCTTTCTTGATTGTGTTCTTCCTCTCAAAACATTCCATCCATCTGTCTTACATCTCTAATTTTCAAACGCCCTTAATCCAGCGCTAACACTGACCTTTTGGGGTCCTCTGTCGTAGCCATGAATAACTCTGGATCCCCATCCTACACGCTTAGAATGCAGCTTTTAAATCTTGTGATTTTCAGTTTTATGCCTATGTTTGTCTCTAAAAATATTTTTTCAGATCTTATGCTTAAAACGCTAGATAACTTGAACTGCCTTTTAAATGCCGTAACTCGATCTCAACTGTGATTTAGGCGTGGATATGCAACTGAAAGGCAAAGTGGTCTACTTATAGCTGAGAAACTTGATTACTTACAATCATCGTTGTTGCAAGGGATCTTCTTCAATCTTTCAAGGCCACTCAAGGAATTCGGAAAATGGCTCTATGAGGTTATGCTGCTTTGCATTTTTTACTAATTTTCTTTATTTACTTTTTGCTTGCCTTTTTGAATTGAATAAATTGCTCCGTTTTTAGCCATGGATTGGGAATTTTTTCTTTCTTATTGAAGTCTGTTAAACCTCATCTAAAGAACAGATCAAAGATGCTCAATTCTTTAGTTATGCAAAGCGAATAGTTGAACCTCATGTGAATTAATCAAATATCGTCCTACTTTAAAAACTATCTATCAACAAATGAGAGATTAGGCAGTGTATTTACTCTCTGCAAAAATGTTGGAAGTACAGGCAACAATGGAAGCCTCAATGATGCTGGCAATAGTAATGATAGTAGAAATGTTGGCTTAAAGAGTACACTTGGGGCATAAACAAGCTGAGCTGAATACATACCTCACTCGAGCTTGAATAAACCAATTTTTCTTGAGCTCAAACATACTTGAGCTCGACAAGAAGCTCTATCGACAATATAAGCAAGGCAGCCCAAAAATAAAGGTTTTTATTTATTATCCTTAATCATTATTGTTTCCGTTCATTTTTCTCTTTTTTTTATTTTTAAAAGGAGTCGTCAGCTTGTCAATCGTCGTATACTTCCCCCATTCAGATAAATCTCCCTCCCGAACCATATAAATGATTCGAAGAGGAGAGGAATTGAATAAGAAGGGACATACGACAAAGAGACAAACAAGAGAAAAAGTAAAACGTGGAGAGTCTACGTGCGATAAACCTCGCAAGGATAGGTTAAGAATGTCCGCCCAAATAAAATCGGGCGGAGGCAACTTAAACGAATATCTGCGAAAGAAGTATCTACATAGACTACCCATAACCAGAGAGTCAGGTGTATGTACTTGTTCTGGGGTCAAGAGCGCTCTCAGAGGAACGTGTTCCTACTGGTTAATTACATCTTGGGGGATACCCAAGAATACTCTCGATAAAAGGAGTTTCGCTTCATATTATCATAAACATGGGGTATAGGCAATCAAAGAAAGGTTATTCCGTGTGGGAACAGTCCCAATACTTCAAAGCTCACACTAAGCCATCGGGCAGAGAGTGAGTCTCTCACATCCCAAATGGGTAGTGGCTAATCAGCACATGTGGCCCACGAAATAACCTAAATCATCTTGACGGGGATCTCCCAATACGTCAAAGCACATCCGGGCCAAAGGGCAGAGGACAAATCGTCGTATCCCAAATGGG